GGTGTGGTTTCGGGGGTGATGGTGAGTTGGAGGAATCATCTGGCTTGAATGAAGAAGAAATTGGAGTTTGATGACTGACAAGACTAAATTTCCTTTTGGAATGTGGCACTATCCAGTACTGCAAATTCTTGTTATTGGGTTTCCTGTGGCACTGAAGAACGACTATATTCACTCTCAATGCTGATGAATACATTGACGAAGGCTTTGTTGCTCAACTACATATATGTCTGTGCAGAGGCACGCAGATACAAGACGAAAAAGAAGAGTAGAAGGATTCTGAACAAAAATAATAATACTATTTGTAGATCCTAGACAAGGAGAGCTTTGGATTTTCAATCCGTTTTAACTTTTAAGAGGAGTGTGGACTATTGAATCTGGAATATGGATAAAGGGAGTCGATGGGAGGCTGCGCCTGTGCTCCTGTGCCTATACGGTGGTCTCGTGTTTGTGGTCTATACTCTATGGTTAGCAGATATATTCAGTACACAGTACGGGTGAAATTGTGGATGATGGTCGTTGTCACTTCCACGTCGGGCCTTTTTTTCTTTTCGTTTTTTTCCAATTCTTTTATTGAATGTTTTTGTTGTCTTAATTTTGCTTCTATGGTTCTGTAACAGGTATTGGGGGCTTTAGCCTTTTACAATAACTCATATGAAAGTGTGTAAACCCAAATATTTCATTAGAAATTGTGTAAATTACTCATCAGAACAGAACCATATTCATTTTCAAGTTCATTCTATCTGGAAATATAAACATGCCCAGTTACATGCAATCTTATGTTTGTAGAGCCCTTCTCTAACGTTGCGTTCGCCATGGAAGGGACACTTTGTGGGAAATTGGGTGAGGAGTGAGGACTTGTAATACTCGGACATCAACAGATGCTACGTATACCTTTTTTTTCCGATTAAAAACAGATGCTACATGTACTGATAACAACCTTGCATTAGACAGATTATTGCTGCTAAAAAAATAATAAAAAGACAAATTATTCCACTTATTTCAAAATTAATCACATATAAACAGCACATTGACTCATCCAATTCCAATCCACATTACAAAATTCAATTCTGCGTGGATCCCAGCAAATCATCTTGTTCAATATAAAAAAAAACATATACGCCTTTTATTACTGAAATTTAATTTATTGAAACCTCAACTAGTACTCTTTCACGTGGGTGAAAAATCACAACAAAATCTTACATTCTATCATTTTTTTCACTGCTACGTGACTTATGCAAATCCATATTGATGCTATGTGCATAATACATCCATCTGATCTGATAATGATCTCGTCGATTTTTCAATGATTTAATGGAACTCCTCTAAAATATGCTACAGTAGGAGTAAGATGCTGATAGATGAAAATTAGTACTCTTTCAATCTATTGTGTATAGGAGTAGATATCTTTTAAAAAATTACAGTAGTATTATTTTGTGATTTTACTTGATTATGTCGAAGTCTAGTGACTCTAGTGTTAGGTAAAAAAAAAAAATGTAGCGAAATTCTATCGGAGAAAGAGTAAAAGGTGAGAGCTACTTGGACCAGAGTCTTGGAACAATTTATGGAGAAATTGGACAGCAAATATTGACGGTTAGAGAAAGCATTCCGACGAGGTTACACGAGTTATCTCACTGCTGCAGAGCTAGCCTAAAACCCAGAGCAGCTGAAAAGAATGCTACACCTAAACCTCTCTTCTTCTCTATCCCCTATCCAAAACCCTAGTAAACAGCACCCTCCTCCACAGTCATACCATGGTTTCTTCTCCAACAATAATTCACCCTTCAATCTTAAAACCAAAACCTCCTCTCTTTCTTTCTCCAATTCGACCAAGAACCTTACCTTAAAATGCCGCCACTCTGGTTATTTTGAGCCTCAAGAACCGCAGCAGCAGAGGTTTTCTCCTCCTGATCAACAAGGTATCTCTTTTTTGTTAACTTTCGTTTTCTAAGATTTTTGGGAGGAAAGATATAAGGCCCAAGTGAAAAGATTTGATTTTGCGGAGAGGGTCCGCCTGGAGATTGATATTTGAGTTGTTTGCTGGCTTTTCCCCTTGTTTTCTTTCATTTTCTTTCCATCCAAGTAGATGATTTCGTGTAACTGAAGGTTCTTTTCTGCCTTGGGTGTGCCTAATTTTGTTGCAATGCATGTAGCAGAAATTTATGCAGGGAATCACGTAAAGATAGCAATTTTGTTAGCATTTTTATCTGGTGTTACAAGTGTCTAAAGTTTTACGCTCCATCCATGTTGGAGGTTAATTGGGAATTGATAAGGGCTTTCTTCGTGAGCTGTGAACTGTTGAGCTTAATAACTGCATTCCTTTTTCAGTCATTCTTATGAAGTGAGCTCATAGCGGTTTTTTTAAGCAAAGATGGTATTTTGGTTGTATAACAGGGACATTGCCGTCAAGGGTATATGTTGGATACTCTGTGTACAAGGGGAAGGCAGCTCTGACAGTGGAGCCTCGGCCTCCAGAGTTCACGCCTTTAGATGTATGCTTGTTGATGCGATAAATCAGCTTTAAGATCTTGTAAGAACGTCTGCAGTTAGTATTCATCTGATTTTTGTCTGTGATGGTTTTTGTTGATGGAGCAGTCAGGGGCATTTAAGCTGACGAAGGAGGGTTTTGTGTTGCTTCAGTTTGCTCCTGCTGCTAGCGTTCGCCAATATGATTGGAGTAGAAAGCAGGTGTTTTTTGTTTCCTTCCTGCGTCATGCATGACAGACTAGTCTTGAAAGAAAAACATGTGTTTACAGTAGAAACTAGGTGCTTGATCAGATAGAATGAAAAAGTCTATACTGATGATGTCAAGGTCAGTGATGCAGATGCAATATTTTGAAAATGTTACTGAAAGATGAATTTGATTGCATCAAAAGAGCCTTCTTGTAATTTGGCTTATATATTTTGCTTTCTCTGCACATTTTTCCAGGTTTTCTCATTGTCAGTAAATGAGATTGGGAGTCTAATTAGCCTTGGAGCAAAAGATTCTTGTGAATTTTTCCACGATCCTTTCAAAGGAAAAAGGTAAAGTTTGAATTCTACGTTTGAAGTTTGTATGGTGGTGGGTGTCTTAATTCCATCTAGCAAGTGCGACTCTAGTAAACTGAAACAATCTTCTCGGAGTATTAGAATTGTCTCAGATTTCAGAATTAGATCTATTCGTTATATAATCTTTTCAGTTTCAATACAGTAATTCATCCTCTATTTGAAACGAATATCTTGCTGTAAACAAATTTCAACTTAGTTTCCAATAACAACAGACGTTCTCGCTTCTCTTTGCCATTTTTTTGGCTTAATATTCATCAATAATTAGTTTTAGTCAAAAAATTTCTCTTTCCTGCTAGTCATGTATCCTTTATGTCTCAACAAATCAAGGTGCTTTTCCTGTTTGTGTCAGTGATGAAGGTAGGGTCAGAAAAGTGCTGAAGGTAGAACCCCTGCCAGATGGTTCTGGCCACTTCTTTAATCTCAGTGAGCCTCATGTTTCTTGACTTCCTTCAAGCAGTTGATAAAGTGACATTTATAACCTTGTATTTAATTCGTTTTGTGTACACAATTGGATTTGCTAAAGGTGTTCAAAACAAGCTTATAAATGTGGATGAGAATATCTACATTCCTATAACAAAGGCAGAGTTTGCAGTTCTTACCTCAGGATTCAATGTAAGATTTTTTGCAACCACAGTATTTGTTCTCCTGTGTCTTTGATTTAGTTTTTTGCACCTTTTCTGTTTTTACTTTAACATTTCTTTTGGTGAGGGATGTCAGAAGATTGGAGCATTCTGCAAATTATGGATGATCCTCGTGAGGAAATCACGACTTGTTCATGTGACTAAGCTTATTGTATGATCTGTAAATACATTAAAGTGGATTTAATTGAAGAACTAATGGGATGCATTTGATCCAAAGTGACTCTTCCCTCTAAAGGCTAGATGCTTTCATGGGAGAGAGGATTTTTTATATGTTTGGAGATTTTGGGCTGTTTCATTGGTAATTTTGGTCAAAAAAGGAGTTCCCTTCTGGTAGCAAGTCAGTCATTTGGAACCACCTTTTGTATTCTAGCTGTAGTGTGTGAGGTTAGGTCACTGGCGAGAGACTTTGCTAAATGCAAATGTAAGATGTCTGCAGAATGCTTACCTTTGACCTTTTGCCTCTAAAATGGCTGTCTACTTTAGACTCATGATCAAGTATTTTAAAGGTGTTCCAAAAGGTAACATATGGCCAGTTAGCGCTTTCTAGGTTTAATGCTCCTGTGCTCTTTCTTCCGCAGTTTATCTTGCCATACCTTATAGGTTGGCACGCTTTTGCAACTTCCGTGAAGCCAGAAGATGCTAGTCGGGTGAACTACACTAATGCCAGATCTGGTGCCGAGTATGAATGGAGCAGATAGGGATCGCTGTTTGCATCAACTAAATTGATTTTGATATTCATGCGACTCTTCATTCCCTATGCCTTGTGCAGTATTGTATTTTGATGAAGTGAATTCCTAGGAGTTTTTGTTAGTGTTATCGATATGGGTTTGAAGAATAGTGATCAAATTTCATTGCAGCTGTTCTCCTGTTTGGCATGTATGAGCCGAATTTGTTCCCTAGCTGCCTATTTTTGACAGTAATCAGCTATCTCGTAACCTGGCTTGTCATCAACCTGACGCCATATTTTCATCCTAAAGCTTGAGGATTAGTTGAGACGACCATGACAAAATTTCACTGAAGAACCATATGCACTTAATTTGCCATTTGCATATGACATCTACCAAATGTTGGAAATGACATTTGAATGCTATGATCGAAGCCAACGAAATTCTCAAATTATAAATTTAAAATTTGGAAAATTCTACAATCCATCTTGAAAATTCTACCAAACTCGTCACCTCGTTTAATAATTTAAATTCATAAAATCACCTCGTTTAATAATTTAAATTCATAAAATTATTTAAGGGTTGATATCTCTTTTTATACATCGAAATATAATATTCCAAAGGGATGGTAGAACTCCTCCTAAATTCCTCTTTCCGTTCCTAATTTCCATTTCTGTCAGGACGTCCACACACAAAAACTGACTCCCTCGCATCTGTTCCAAGTTTGGAACTTTTTGACTGTTTAGTTGAGGTTCCAAGTTTCAACTTTCCCCTTGAAATGTCTTACTCTTCATATGCTGTGAGCAGGAAATATATAAATCTGGTTCATGATTTTTTGTTCCTTCTTGTATTGTACTATTCGTGTATGGCTCGATAGTGGCAATCTCAACCAGTATGATTACCTTTTCTAAATCTGTGTTTCTTTCTGTTATCTGATCTACTTCAACCTTTTTGGGCCTTCGTCATTCTTCTCTTGGATTGGTGCATTGATTGACATGGTCAATTCCAGCCAGGAATTGAAGAGCTCCTGATAAGAATTGGAGCAGATAGGATGGGTTCACCATTAGATTGGTAGCATACAACGCCCTGCTAATGCAATGTAGTTGAATGCTTGCCCTTCTGGCTTCACCAGAATAATTTATGAATTTCACATGGCTTTCCGATGTTCTTGTTCTCCCCTCCCCTCCCTCCCCTCCTGCTCCAAATTTTGTCTTTTAAGCAACTTTCGGATGTACTTTTTTAAACTGTTATTGGTACACCCGCTAAACTGTTTTGCATCTAATTTGGTTCTTTCAAAATTTGGCATGTCCTCAACCTGCCTTCACATTTTTGTTATAAATCTTGAAAAATACGTCTTAAGATTGATGAATACAAGCCAACCATTGCAGATACATTGTGCTTGAAAATTTTGCAAGTCCTGTAAAAGATATAGGTTTTGGACGCTAAGATCCAAGCCACGGAAATTCTTGAAAATAAGATTTTGTAGCGGTTAGCTAATTCCCATTTGCACTAGGATGCACACAAACATTCACTTGTTGACAGTCTCCTCAATGTTGAAACTTCCGGACTTTTTGTTTTTTGGAACTGTTTGATTCGGGCGTTCAATCTTGGGAACGTCCAACAATTTAGATGGGCTGAACTCTGAAGTAGAATGCAAGAATTTTAATGATCACCAGTTTCAAGAAACAACACATGAGCTTTTGCATGCCGCTATTATTATAAGTTATTAGGGACTAAGAGTTTGACTGGAAGACTTACCGTGACGTTCTTTTGAAATAAAGTAAGATGCTTGATCTGATTGAATAAAAGAACCTGACCGCTATAAGAACTTGTAAAGCCTAAACAGGAAGCTGAATTTTCCCACTTCTTCCACTCTCTCCCTCCTAGTCCCAGTATGAATACCGTGAAAAAGGTTCTTTTGTTCTTAGTCTTGGGCAGTTTCTCTGCATTTTTGACAATTGGCAGATCAACTGCTGAGCTGATAACTTCTCTCCCTGGACAGCCTTCTAATGTTACCTTCAAGCAATATTCAGGTTACATTGTTACAGATGCTCAACATGGCCGAGCTCTTTTCTATTATTTCGTCAAAGCTGATTCAGGAAATCCGCTCTCACATCCCCTGACAGTATGGCTAAATGGCGGTAATGCCAACAACTGTATCATTTCTTTCATTTTCTATACTTTTTTTTCCCTGTTAATGTGCTTTGCTTCAGTTTAGGCCCTGGTTGTTCTTCTCTTGGATTTGGTGCATTCATGGAAAATGGTCCTTTTCAGCCTGGAAATGCAGGCCTCCTGTTAAGAAATAAGTATTCATGGAATTCAGGTACTGGTGTAATGGTTGATTGATTGCATGTAAGCCCATTTCTGAAACTGGATTACAGAAATTGACCTGATCTTCAAAACTGAACAGCATCAAACATGTTGTATGTGGAATCACCTATTGGAGTTGGGTTTTCATACTCAAACACAAGTTCAGACTACATCAATTGGAATGATACAACAACTGGTAATCAATGCTGGTTCATCTTTTAGTTGTCTCAGTAAGTAGAGTGTTGCTTTTGAATGTTTCAACAAACTTTTTTACAGCTTGGGATAATCTGCAATTTCCCTTGAACTGGTTCAAGGAATTCCCTCAACACAGAGATTCGGATCTGTACTTAACTGGGGAGAGTTATGCAGGTAAAATTTCACTCATTATTCTTCTTTAACTGAATTGGCTTTATTCCGGGTTTGGTTGGATCAATTGTCATTTCTACCAATAATAATAATAATAATAATGGTTATGCAAGAATTTAGAGCATTTTTGTGTTAGTGAAATTTGAAATAGCCGATGTGTGAAATGCATAACATTCTGATTAGCAGGATGATATATCTGCTCAAAATGGTTTCAGGTCACTATATACCACAGCTTGCAATGCTGTTGCTAGAGTACAACAGACAACTGAATAACAAACCTATCAAGCTCAAAGGAATTGCAGTAATTTTTCAATTCACTATCTTTATCAAATGCAGATTCATGAGAAGTTGCAACCAATTAATTAATGTACAAATTTCTCTCTTCCTATGTATTGCAGCTGGGAAATCCACTGCTAGACAGCGAGATCAGCATTGATGCTAGTGAATTCCTTTGGTCACATGGAGTAATTTCTGATGACATGCTTGCAATGAAGAAAACAGTCTGTAATGACTCGAGGTACTTTGTGGAGAGAATCCATAAAAATCTATCCAAGGATTGCCTGGATATGTATGGAACCATGAGAGAGGAGGTTGGAAATGATACTGATCCTGGCGATCTTATCATGCCTCCATGTTTATCCCCGACTACACAATCAACTTTTCTGGGAGGTCCTGCTGATGCAAAGGTACATGAAGTCTATCAAGTTGTTCTCGTTGGTTGAACAACTTTTGCTTTAGAAAAGTTTTAGGCTAAAGTACCTGAATTTCAAGCAGTTTTTTCAGAAACATGATTAGTTTGTAAATTAACTCCACTAAGTTGAAGCAAAGGAGAACAGAACCTATAGGCTGATGGTTGCTAATAAGAGTTTGAGTTTATTGATAGGTTGCAAAGAAAATTGCAGTTGGTGATCCCTGTCTAGGTGATAGGATATATGCATACCTCAACAAACCTGGAGTTCAGAAAGCTTTACATATCAAAACAACTCGATTTCCAGCTGTCTGGGACTTTTGTTCAGGGTCCAGTCTCTTCTCTCTCTCTCTCTCTTACACACACACACACACAGATACACATACCCACACACACACACTCCCAGGATATGGACAAACACAAGAAGTCGACTGCATGTTTTGTCATCCTGTGAGCTAAAATTGTGATCTTGCAGGCCGCTGGACTACCAAGCTGATAATATGGCTGCTAACATCATACCTCTCTTGTCAGGGATTCTTAGAGAGAACATCCGCATTCTACTTTTCAGGTTGGTTTATCCTGTCTCATTTTGCTACCAGTTTCAAGCTTGAGTTCTCATGATTTGATGTAGTATCTAATACTACTAACATTTAGACTTCAGATGCCGTCTACCAAAATTACCTCTAACCAAAACTACGTACACATCACATTTGCCAATTAACGTTTCAAGTATGCTTGCAGTTTACATTTTATTCTTAATTAATTACTACTTTAATCTAAGCTTCAATTAACATTTCTTGTGACCAGTGGAGATCAAGACTCAAAAATCCCACTAACACAGACAAGGAAAATTGCAAATTGGTTGGCCAAAGATCTAGAGCTGACAGCTTTTGGGAGATATGGTCCTTGGTATGATGGCTTGCAGGTACAAGTGAAATAATTATGGCAAACCTGCCCATTTTACAACTGAATTTCGTAATTCAAGTTCTTCTGCAGGTTGGGGGCTGGAGTCAATCATTTGGTGGATTAGAGAAGAGTAAAAACAATACACACTTGACATATGCTACCGTTAAGGGAGCAGCTCATGAAGTCCCCTTCACTTCTCCCTCCCAAGCTCTCACACTCTTCAAAGCATTTCTAAGTGGACATCCTCCCCCAAGAACCAGTAATGTTTGAGTCGAAAATTGCTGGGTTGAGTGCTGTGCTGTAGGTTGCTATTCAAGATGGAAGCTTTTGCTTCGGATTTTAACTTACCAAGTCAGCTAAATGTGCAGTTTCGCTGTGATGATACGGCATGCAGAGCAACGAACATGAATAATACTACGCTGCTCCAATCAGAAGATTGAAGAAAATTGTTGCAACAACAATAATGTATGCTATCGTCTTCAGGGGATGCCAAATAACAAATGCATTCAAAACCTAGTAACTTGTATATGATAGCTGTTGAATTCAAACCAACGGCCCCAATTTCTGGCCCCTTGTATCCTCACCCTGTTACGAGGTTCGCAATATCGGGCAAGTCGTAACTGAAACGGAGGGACCAGTACGACACCAATCCTCGAATCGCGGATATTACCATATCCACGACGACTCGCTCTAACTCGACCGATATTGGTCGATTCGAATCTGTGATGCATGATATCAGCCGATATATCCGAATCAACTAGGAGTCGACTCGGATATATTTTTAAATTGTGCATTTTTTGGTATTTTCTAATTTTAATAAATTTTCAAAATTTTTGGAAACTTTCATGTGTCATAACGTGCGTATCACCCGATATTCAACCGATATGTCGCGACGGATATGGAACAACCAAGACCACGATGCGACCGCGACCTGCGATGGCGAACCATGTTGTTACCTATGCATCATGCATGGTGGAGGGGGGTTGAAGTTGCATGTTGTTTCGTAACTAAATTCTACTTCACATAAGGGATCTATGTAAAAGAAGCCAGGCAAACTTTCCACAGGGTTAAACTATTTTATGAACTGTTCAGCTCTAAAGGAACTAGTACAATAGTAACTCCAAAAAGAAGAGTACCAGATATAAATATAATAGCATATGTACACGAAAAGGATTTAACTTTCTGTATGACGTCCCCTAACTTCAGTAAAGATCACCAAGGAAGTAATCATAGGCTAGCTGTTTTGACAACACTACTTGGTTACAGAAGGGCGTTCCGGATTTTGAATGCTATTATCAGCTATAGAGCTGCTGTTCACTGAAACTTGGTGGCTCTGATCAAAGAAGCCGAAACTTTTGAACAATTATCAAAGATAAATTGATGCAAAGTACATAATCTCCACTTGTAACAAAAGTTCAGACTACTCTAACTGGAATGACACAACAACTGGTATTCATAGACCAATCGGTGACAGTTCATTTCTTTTTATAGCAGTCAGTAGCGCATTGCCTCTAAATGTTTGAGCAAATTTTGGTATTTACAGCCTCGGATAATCTACAATTTCTCATCAACTGGTTGAAGATATTCCCCGCGTACAGAGACTCAGATTTGTACTTCACAGGGGAGAGTTATGCAGGTAAATTTCCATTTGTTATTCTTCTATAAGCACTAAATTATGTGGCTTCTTTGTCAGTCACAGTATCTTGCGTAGGTTAGTTTGCTACATGGATAAAAAGACGAACTAATTATGCAATAAATCAAGGGCTGCTCAGGCAAGTAAAACTCTAAACCGACAATTTTTCAAAGCTGAATTCATTCTGGTTAAGGGAAGTCATTACTGCACATGCATAGTTAACAGGGTAGATATAAAATTCCAATTTGTGTAGCTATTGAAACTAGTATTATCATCGTGATAATTTGGAATTAAAATGCCTACTCATAATGGTTTCAGGCCACTACATACCACAACTTGTGAAGTTGTTGCTAGAGTACAACAGACCAATCAATCTCAGAGCCATCGCAGTACTGATTTTTTGTTATAACTCTCTATCTTCATCAGCTGAATCCCCATAAGAAGTTACAGTAGATAAATTGATGCACAAAATTCTCTCTGCTTACATAATGCAGTTGGGAAAACCGCTTCTAGAATTGAGATAAGCATTGATGCTACTGAGTTCCTGTGGTCACATCACATGGGGTCATTTCTGATGAAATGCTTGCTATAAAGAGAACAGTATGCAATGATTCAAGGTACATGCTGGAGTACACCCATAAGAACTTATCCAAGGAATGCCAGGTTAGTGATGCAAAATTGGAAATGGAGAGGGGATCCGGCACTGATTCTGGCGACTCGCTCTTGCTTTATTGTTCATCCCCTAGTACGCAATCAGTTTTTATGGGAGATCTTGCTCATGCAAAGCTAAGAATCGTTGAGAAGAAAACGGAAGCTGGTGATCCCTGTCTTGCTGACAGAATATATGCATACCTGAGTAATCCTGGAGTTCAGAAAGCTTTACATGTCAAAACGACTCAACTCCAAGCTGCCTGGACCTTTTGTTCAGAGTTCAACCTTTCTCTCTCTCTCTCTCTGTGTGATCTCCAGACACACACAGACACAAGAATCAAGGTGTGGTCTATACATATCATAGTTTAGTTCCATGTATCTTCGCATGCCGTGAGCAAAAGTTGTGATTTTGCAGGCTGCTGGACTACCAGAGTGATAATATAGCCACTAACATCATTCCTCTATTGTCACAAATTCTTTAATGTTTAATGTGGAAGCTCACTAATGAGCTAGAAATTTACATTGTGGAAGCTCACTCTTAATCTTTAATGTTTCCATAGCTTCAATTAATAGTACATTTGTTCTTCAGTGGAGATCAAGATTCAAAAATCCCACTGACGCAGACAAGAAAAATTGCAAATTTGTTGGCCAAAGAACTAGAGCTCACAGCTTTTGGGGGATATGGTCCTTGGTACGATGGATTGCAGGTAAAAATGCAATGATTACTCCATGGAAACATTTTTCAGAATCTCAATGTTCTACATTGGAAGAATCATAACTCAGGAGTGGCCTTCTCCTCCAAGTTGGTGGCCGGAGCCAATCATTTGGTCGAATTACCAGAAATAGAAACACTACCCATTTGACATTTGCAACAGTTAAGGGTGCAGCACATGAAGTGCCCTTCACTTTCTCCATCCCAAGCTCTCACATTCTTCAAAGCGCTTCTTCTCCGGAGACTTCCTCCACCCAAAGTCAGAAATAATTGATATAGAGCTGTTAGAATGTGAGTTTGGCGGATTTGGATGGATCATGATCGGATTACAAGTGTAATTGGATTAATCTATTATTCCCGCTCAATTGTTGGATCAAAATGGATAAGAGTCGTGATTGTATTAATTTTTTCTCCTACATCTTCTTTGACAAGAAAAATAGTACCCTATATCTATATCATTGTAATAAAAGTTTAATAGATAACAACGAGTTAGTGAACAAATCATTTTATCTAAATAAAAAGAAAAAAAATTCAAAAAGAAGACAAATAAAAATTGCGTGATGTGACAAAAAAAAAAAAATGGTAGTCAAGACAAGTTTCAAATGATGTCGCTACATACGTATAGGATGGTTTAGCTATCAACACAAAAGGTCAATGACACAATAATTGAAGAGTATGCTAAGGTGGAGGGAGAAGGCGAAGGAATACAAGGTTTGAAAGAAGAGGAGAAAAGAATAGGCAAAATTTAGAAAATTGTCATTGGATTGGTGGTGGTGATCCAAAGTCACTTAACACTCGCTAATAATTGGCCCGCTGTGCCTCTCTATCTAAAACCAGAAAAGAGCCGAGAAAAGGAATCGCCGACTCTATACTGCAGAGGAGAGAGACCACTTCAAAGGAAAGAATAAGCCTCCAAACAGGAGAACTGACTATGGGTTGGGGGGGAGGGGGGGTTGCTGGGGGCTTAGTTTCCTGACACGTATATAGTGGTTACACATGGCACCGCCTTCTTCCTCCACATAGAATCTTCAATAACAAACTCTCTTCACTCTTCACAAGGGACGCTCCAGAAACAAAGATCTTGGGAAAAGGTATCACAAGCCCCTTCTGATCTTTGCAAGTCAAGAGGCGCTACACAGGTAACATTTTCTTGCTGCTGAGGCGAGAACCTACTGCTGCATCTCCTGAATTTTAACAACAAAAACTGCTATTCCTCGAGTTTGGTATGCTATGTTTTCTAAGGTGTTTCTTGGTTAAGCAATCTTTCTGCTTATTGTTGGTCGGTCAGTGGAAAATATCAACCCAAGAAGTAGTTGAATTTGTAAGAAGTAAAGAAATGCTAGAAGAACGCCAAAAATACAGCTATAAATGGGAAGAAACGCGCAGGAAGAGCCCCCATAGCGCTAGAAAAGTAGAAATTCCACGCTGCCCCATGATGAATAGGCCTTTAGGAAACTCAATGTGCAATCTAGTCCAATGGATTGTAAAGCATTGGCTCACACTAATGACGGCCATCTCATTGCTGACGCGCCCAAGTTACTGTTAGAATTTGACGAGCTTTTAGAATCTGATCATGATAAGTAGTTTTTACTCCGTTTTGTTGTGATATATAATGCATCAATTGGTTTTGCCTGAAAATCTAGCATTGAATTGTGCAAATTGAACAACTGAAGAACCTGCGATCCACATGTTTACTATCAATTCTAACCGGGTTTTTGAGCTTCTAAGATTGTTTGATTCAAATGCTGTACATGATTTTCATTTTTGTCATTTGCTTTGCTTGATATGCAGAAATAGCACGTCAATTTTTCCTTGGTTTATAGATATTTAGATAAACATGGCACAAGCATCAAAAGGCCCAAAATCTACAAGTTACGATGCTTACTTTGAGAATGTCCAAAGCAGAAAAATGTTACCTCAATCGTTACAGGAGACTCTAACGGCTGCATTTGCAAGAATTCCAGTTTCATCTTTTCCAGAAGTTCCTGGCGGCAAAGGTAACAGGAAGGAATCTTTCATTTCGCCAGCTTCTCACTTAATGTATCATCTATGGTTTTCTTGTTCAAACACATAGTGTTCAATGGCTTCTTGCAACGTACCTGTAGTGATTGAGATCCCAGCAGACACATCTATTGGAGATGCTGTGAGAGTTTTATCAGAAAGCAACATCATGTCAGCTCCTGTGAGAAACCCTGATATTGAATATACAACAGATTGGAGAGAAAGATACTTGGGAATCATAGATTACGCCGCCATTGTGCTTTGGGTGCTAGAGACAGCAGGAGTTGCAGCAGCTGCCTTATCAGCTGGTTCTGCAGCTGCTGCAGGGGTAGGTGCTGGTGCTGCAGGCACACTTGGAGCAATAGCACTAGGTTCAACTGGTCCTGCTGCAATTGCAGGCCTAACTGTTGCTGCTGTTGGAGCAGCTGTTGCAGGTGGTCTGAGTGCAGAGAAAGGAATGGCAAAAGATGCTCCCACTGCAGCTGATAAGTTGGGCGAGGATTTCTACAAAGTTATCCTTCAAGAAGAACCATTCAAGTCAACCACAGTAAGTGA